AAAAATCACCATTTCGAGCCATTACTTTCTAGCTTCATGTAGGTCTGTGTATGGTAACTCTGGCAAATAGAAAACTGCCTCAAGCCATGCTTGATGTACCTCACTGCTGCACTTCGAGTTTTCTATAGCATCTTCCAGGAGTCCACTGCCTGCTGTTTCCTTCTGCCATTGCCTTCCCCTTTGGTACTGTACTTGCAGAGCTTGTCATTGTTATTGTCATGGTAAAACCTACTTTATTTTGAATGCCCATAGCATAAAAGTCAGCAGGAGGGGTGGATGAGATTCAGGGAAACACTAATCTAAGCATTCAGTCATGTATTACACAACAAAAGTTTTTTTCCTTTCCCATCCACGTTGTGCTCCTTCTTACTAGTTGAGGATGAATTCCATGCATGTTTCTGTGAATAGCCTGACAGTTTAATCGGTACATTTGCATACGGGCAAATGAAGCTTTTTTCAAAGTTGCACAGTAATATGTTTCACCTTTATACCATGCCAGCTTCAAATTGTATCCCAGGAGGATTTCAAATGTGCATAATCTGTGCAGTTGTCTGGGCTTTTTTCCTTTCTTTTTCTTCTGCTTTTTTTTTAACTGGCAAATGCCTATTCATTGCCCATCTGGGTAAGAATGGCCTTTGCATTTTCACACCCATTCTTTCCTATATGGTTTGTGAATACTCCTCCAATCAGAACTTGCTTCACAGAAAGGGGACAAAACCATTTTACAGGAGTTTCTCAGAATAAGTCCATTGGGATCTCTACATCATGTTTACTGGACAAAAAACGACCGAGTACTTAACAAAGACCACTTGAATTTCACAGAAAGTTTCCCACTGTCTTGAGTTTAAAAGAGTGGCAGGCCTGAGGAGAGCCCTAGACAGGAGTCTTTTTCCTGAGCTGGGCATTCTGTGCAGTGATGAGTAGGTGAGTGTGTGTGTGTGCGCAGCTGGGCCTTGTGAGGAGCTGACACACTTTCTGGCTTGTCCAAGGCTCTAGGAGTCTTTGTCAGAATATGGCATTTACTTAGAATCAAACCTGCATTGGCAAGTCCGTGTTTTGTGGGCAGCATCACCTTTGAACTTTCAGCTTAGAACAACGTGAAGTAGGGAGGGGTCAACCACAAAACTTGGATCTGGACCCAGCTTCATGCAAAGAGGGAAAGGATCTGCCTTGGACAGCAGCTTTTGCTACAGACCAATCCCTGGAATTTGTTAAAACCACTCTTCATACTGATGTGGCTTGTATAGTAGTGGTTCTGACATTTACACAAATTATTTCTTTGCCTGGACTTGGGATAGATATGCTTTACAGTGTTGAATGTCAAGGAAGGTCGCCTAGAAAAATCATCCTCAAAATCTGTATTAGCTTTTTTTTTTACTATTTATTGTGTATCTCTTCCAACCACCCTTCTTCTTTTATCCTCAAGGAGTACATTTCAGTTGCTTCTCAGTTGAAGAAGTGGTAGATGTTCCAACAGTGAGAGGATCTTTTTAGGGCAAACTCTAATAGCAGTAAAAAATAATGCCATTTATGAAGTGGCTCAGTTGGCTTTCAGACCAGCTCCTACACCACAAGGAGCATCCTAGTTCAGTTCCTATAGGAGAGCTATTCACATCACTCTTGCAAATGCATACAAATCTTTTTTTTGTAGCCAGGATCAATTTCAACTGCCTGTTTTCATTAAGTTTGCTAAGGATTTCCCTAAATTCCTCCCATGTTAAACTATGACAGGACCAAATACACTGTGGCTATACTACTCTTGATTCCCACAGCCAGGACCTGAGAAGGACTGTTGAAACTTATAGATGAACCTTGCCCTTCCTCCTTTCTGTACATGATTTCTGGGTAAATGGCAGAATTCACATTCCCAGGAAGTCATTTAGTCTCATGATCCATGTCACACCTTTCTGGAAAGGAGTTGTCCTAAGTGTGAGAAACAACTGATAACTTTGAAAATTTAAAAAGGTTTATTAAACCTTAACAAAAATACAACAAAGGACTATAAAAAGAAAAATTGCAGTGCCAGGAACTGCTATCGTAGATACCACATGGCCAGTTCATCTTCAAGATGGATGCCCAGTGTTTTATACCCCTGGGGGTTGCATCAGCCAGCTCTGGCTCCTCCCAAAGTCTGTCTGTCAGTTCTTCTTTGCCATTTATCGGTGGAGACTGCTTTCTTGTAACTTGATTGGAGATCAGGTGTTGCCATGCCACACCCCCTATGCACCAAGCTTTTCCATTCCCAGCTGCCCCATGCAAGGGGTGCGTGGCACAGCTTCTGTCCTAGACAACCCCGGCTGTCTGATGGTCACAACAAGGGAGGGGGGGAAGGGAACCATGGGGAGAACAGAGGACGTCTAAACTACTGTAACATAACTGTACATCACTAAAGCTTTTCTTAATATTTACACAATATTTATCCCTTAATTGTGGCAGCCAGTCATCTCATTACCGTCCGTAACACTAAGGATGCATTTTTCAGAGTTTTGCTCACAAAATTAATTTTATCTGCCAAGAAGCATAGTAACAAAGTAGGTTTCTTTTCTCAAATCAAGTGACCTGTCTGTAGCATCTCTGGTGTGTGTAGAATATTCCACATTGTGCATATTCAAGATAGGATTTTTGGGTTATTGGGTTAGACTGCTGCATATTTCTTATTATTATCAAATACCTTCTTTGACAGACCTGAACATAGAGATGTCTTTATGTGAAAGTGAGTCCTAGGAGCAAACCAGGTAGTCACTGGTACTACTCAAAGATAGTGGGTAGCTGTACAGTCACTTGCTATGGCCTGTAGTAAGTCTTAAAAAGAGGTGTCACCTATTTATCAATAATTTTCCACCCTTCTGTTGCCCCACATCTATGAAGTTTTTGCCAAGGATTCTGACTTTGTGTGTAAATACATGCTGGATTTTGGATTCTAGTATGGTCTGACATGTTTGACACGGAAGCATCTGGAACTGCCCTGGAGGCCTCTGGAGAAGTACTCTTTCCGGAAGGAGGAGGAAATACATCTCTTCTCTACATTATTTTGTGTGATAATAGTTGCAATGCCCTTGAAGGAAAGTCTCCCAGTTTCTAAGATGTTTTTCTAGTCCTATGGTCAGTCCCATTAAAGAAAGAAGTTCAGGTTTCCTGGCTAAGCTTATGAACAAGACAGAGGAATTTCACAACCTCCATCGTGGTGTTAGTGATTTCTTCCTTGTTTCTTCTATGTGAGCATCCCCTCAGCATGCTAATCATACATGGAAATTAGTAACCTTCTGGTACAGGTTGGTTTACATCTGTTAACATGGGACTTCTTCAGACAGCTTGGCCCCTTTGTGATTTCCAGTTCCTGACCTTTGTGCTTCCCTTTAATCATCAGCTACTTCAGAGAATTAAAATAACCGCTTGTGTCCCTGGTGGTTTCTCTTGGAACCACCAGAAGAGAGGGTGCTTGAGATGTTGGGAGTGAATAAATGGGAAGTAAAAGGCAGAGCAGGGAGCATGCCATATTTGCCTGCAAATTGCAGTGAGAAGTGTTCAACTGCCTGTGGATGAGATGTAAAGCATTCCTTCGGGTGGGGCAGAGAGACATTGCTGGGCTAAAAGGCCTGTGTATGCCTATCAACTGCTTCCAGTGCTATTTATTTGCTCTTACATTTGTTAGACAGTGACAATAAGCTAGTTTCATTTACTCACACTTACCAACTTCTATTTTTGGATGCTCACACATTACCAAGTTATTGTGGCAATAGTGGTTAGATCTTTGGTGGGAATATGCATGACAAAATGCCTGTAAAACCAGTGGCGATTTAGCATTACTTTGCCTAATTTTCTAGAAAGCAAGGTGCCACAAGTACTACAAATGCTTAAAAGAATTATTAATAGTGTTTTATTTGTTTACCATTCAAGGGACAATTGATACTTTATAATTAAAAGGTGAAATCATAGTTTCTGCCTGTCAAAATCCAAATAGATGAAAATTTGGTATAAAACAGGAAAGGAAATGGGAAAGCAGTGAAACCAAAGCAAGCAAGATGAAGATGGGGAACAGTGGATTGGGAGATTAAGAAATTTCTTTTTAGTCACTTGTAAATTTTGAAGATTATGTTAGCTCTGTATCCAAATTGGTTAGATGCTTTTCTGAACTGTTCTCTATTTAGATTATTCAGTCAAACTAAGACAAAATCTTCCTTGGAGTAAATGTCTGTAATATTCCAGTTTCTGTCAAGTAAATAACAGCAGGAGAACATTTGGTTTTATATGATGGCGGTCTGGTGCAAGTCAGAACTTGGGATATGCTAAAAATGAAGGGGACAGCTCATGTTAACTTCTTGCTTTGGGTTCTTTCAGAGAACTGTTTGTCACTATTGGGTAGCAAATGTTCTAAACCACAACCCCAGACAAAACTCTGCGTGGGATTTTAGGAACATTTGCAGCCTTAATCTTGAACCAGATTTGGATTTTACAAAGTGACTGCCAGTTTTTTTTGATACAAGTAACTATACTGTGAAACACATGATCTAAATTCCTTAAAATACCAATCTAGATTGAAATAATATTTTCATATATACTCTTTGCATTAACAACTTAGGGTCATTACAGATTCTGATCTCTCTGGCATAAATCAAATCCACAGCCTAAAATCCAGCTTTAATCCATGTGCTCAGTGTTTACAATTGGCTGGCTCTAAGCTTTTTAAAGCCAGATAAACTGATAGGAAGCCCAAGACTCAGGAGTATGATTGGAATTCAGGTCCAGCTACACCTGTCTTCATTTGGTTTTGTCCAAAGATTCAGGACTTGAGCTTCTGGAAATGAGTAGGGAAGTTTACCTGTAGCCTTACAAAATGATGTGTTGTTACCAATGCCTCTGTGTGTGGTTTTTCCAGTGCAATCAGTTTTGTTTACACAGTGGGAAGTTACCATTGCCAGCGCTCTCACTCCGGCCCTGCAGAGGACAAGACTCATTCTGTTCTTTTTGTTTGTTTGTTTTTGTCACCTGCTTTGCTCCAGGTAACATCAGTTGCAAGGGGATGACAGAGCGCATTCATAGCATCAACCTTCACAACTTCAGCAATTCTGTGCTCGAGACCCTCAACGAGCAGCGCAACCGTGGCCACTTCTGTGACGTGACGGTCCGCATCCACGGGAGCATGCTGCGCGCCCACCGCTGCGTGCTGGCGGCTGGCAGCCCCTTCTTCCAGGACAAGCTGCTGCTGGGCTACAGCGACATCGAGATCCCCTCAGTGGTGTCGGTCCAGTCTGTGCAAAAGCTCATTGATTTCATGTACAGCGGGGTGCTGCGGGTGTCCCAGTCAGAGGCCCTCCAAATCCTCACAGCTGCCAGCATCCTGCAGATCAAGACTGTGATTGATGAGTGCACAAGGATTGTCTCACAAAATGTGGGCGATGTCTACCCAGTGATTCAGGATTCTGGCCAAGAGACACCCAGGGGAACACCTGAATCAGGCACCTCGGGGCAGAGCACTGACACAGAGTCTGGCTACCTGCAGAGCCATTCACAGCACAGCGTGGACAGGATCTATTCAGCCCTCTATGCCTGTTCCATGCAAAATGGCAGTGGGGAGCGCTCGTTTTACAGTGGAGCTGTGGTCAGCCACCATGAGACAGCCCTGGGACTCCCCAGGGACCATCACATAGAAGACCCCAGCTGGATTACCCGGATCCATGAGCGGTCGCAGCAGATGGAGCGGTACCTCTCCACCACTCCAGAGACCACACACTGCCGGAAGCAGCCCCGCCCTGTCCGAATCCAAACCCTGATGGGCAACATCCATATTAAACAGGAGATGGAGGATGACTATGACTACTACGGCCAACAGAGGGTGCAGATCCTTGAGCGCAATGAGTCTGAGGAATGCACTGAGGACACTGACCAAGCAGAAGGCACTGAGAGCGAGCCCAAAGGGGAGAGTTTTGACTCGGGTGTCAGTTCCTCCATTGGCACTGAGCCTGATTCCATGGAGCAGCAGTTTATGGCTGGTCTGGGCCGGGATGGGCAGCAAGAACCTACTCAAGCAGATCAAAATGATGTCCCTGCTGATGGCACTCAGCCGCAGCAGCAGCAGCAGCAACATGTAGATGCCAACTCTTCCTCACCAGAGAGAAGCAATGACGTTGAAATGGACAGCAAAGTGCTCACAGTCAATAACAGCACCGAAAAGGGGGCTTTGCAGCCTTCTGTCAGCACATCTGTTGCCCAACCATTGCCAACCACACAGATCTACTTACGCCAGACAGAAACCCTCACCAGCAATCTGAGGATGCCACTGACTCTGACCAGCAACACTCAGGTCATTGGCACAGCTGGCAACACCTACCTGCCTGCCCTTTTCACCACGCAGTCTGCTGGCAGTGGCCCTAAGCCTTTTCTCTTCAGCCTGCCCCAGCCTTTAGCTGGCCAACAGACACAGTTTGTGACAGTGTCCCAGCCTGGCCTGTCAACCTTTACTGCCCAGCTGCCAGCCCCACAGCCCTTGGCCCCGTCTGCGGGTCACAGCACAGCGGGTGGGCAAGGCGAAAAAAAGCCTTACGAGTGCACTCTCTGTAACAAGACTTTCACCGCCAAACAGAACTACGTCAAGCACATGTTTGTACACACAGGTAAGAGTGCTTCCCTTTGGCTTGCATGTGGAGCCACAGAAAGCCCTTCACAACCATGTACTTAGATTTTGTTTACCAGCCTGCCAGGCCCCAGGATAAACAGAAGGGAGGGCTTATCCAGGGAGCTGGTGTCACTGAACACTTCCTGGCCTTACTGCACTGAAGTTGAGTCCCTGCAGAAAAATATAGATCCCAAATAGGGGCCTAACTGTGCAGGGTGGAGAAACAAGTTAATTTCTCTTGGAGTAAAATGCATCCTGCATCCATCCAAGGAAATGGTGAGCATTCATTGTACCCTGCAAGCTGACCAGACAACATTAAGTGGATGAGAGGAAACTAATAGGTCATAAGAAAAACTATATCTACTAAGAAAGGGCATCCCCCTGTAGGTTTTACAAATATGGGGTTTACAGATTAAGCTAAAGTAGTGGTGAGGTTAGGGCAAATTCATTACTAGTGGAGCTGCGCCAGTACGTCCAGGCCCGGATGTTACACACACTGCCACAGATTTTTTTAGATCTCACATACTACTATAAGAAATTAAATCTGGGGTTTTGTCAGAAGGTCTTTCTGTACTTCACTGAGGCTAATTGCTGTAATCCCTTGTCTCTTGGTAAATCAGAGGCATCACTAGCTGTGCATACAGAAACATAGGGTTCAGTGAGAAAATATTTAAAGAATATATGTGGAGTACAATGGAACACAATATCAGCATCTTTCTGTTTAAAACTACAGCTGCTTTAGTACATGGTTTATGGTCTGTTGAGATAACATAGGTAACCATATTTGCCACTGAGCCAAAACTGCCTTTTCTAGCTTTGCCAAGTTATGAGACTTCAAAGCAAGGATATGTATTTTAAATGGAGTTCCATGGGTTCAGGAGTGCTTTGCTTGCTTTAGCCCTTGGCTCTTCCTGCTGTTGGAGAGACATTCTAGTTTAGAGAAAGAGTAAATATTTCTTTCACCAAGCAGTGCCTTTGTTAACATCAGATCTTAAAATAAATGCTGGGTTTGTGATACATGGAGGAGAACCTGGAAACATTGCCCAACATGCCTCTCTCTTGGATGCAATAGATTTCAATTCCATGTGTATATGTAAACTTTTAACTTCAATTTACCTGTATTTATCACTTAAATGAAAAACTCCTCTAGATATCTACAGCAGACATGTACATATACATATACAAAAAGATCAACTTCTCAGGACTGGTACAAAATGTGTAATTGCAAGGATCAAGAGTCCTGAATCCCAATATTACGTTTGTGTCTGTTTATGTTCTCCATCTCTCTGTTGTGGATGAGGAGCTAAAATGCAACATAGATAGTGTTGGTATTCAGAAAAATATCCCCTTCATAACACAGTCAAATATATCTGCTTGCATTCTTGTTCTAAAAGCCAAAAAGACTGTTTTACAAATAACTTCACTGAGATTAGGTACTTTATTGCCCCTACCACTGCACTTTGGTTTTGGATTCAGATAAAGAATAATACTGGAAGTATTTTTCTGATCTAAAACATTCTTAGCTACTACAAGTAATACCAACTGAGGAAATTGATAGGCATCTTGAATCATGAATTAATATTTTATTTTTGTGGGTCTGAGAATGCCCTAAAAAATGAACCGTGGTGGCAAGGAAAGATTTGGGTAAATAAATCATTTCAAAATTCATTTAGGAGCTAACTGGCTCCTGAGAGAATAATTTCACCTTAATCTACAGAGAGCAAGGCTTCAAAAAGCCCTCCTATATGCACAAATTACCATTATGTGTGCAGCCCCAGAGAAAGTCTGTCTGCTACCTTGTCTAGTGCTGGACAGGATCATTACAAAAATTGAGGGGAGATACCTGTTCCCACTGTCAGGGTGACTTTTCCTTAGGCCTGTTGAAAGAAGCCCAGTAAAGTGGCCCTGGAAAAGATCCACAGAAAAAATGAGAGGTTTGGGAGATGCAAATATTTGAATTAATCTTTCTGTTTGGAGGGCTCACAAGAGAAGTCATGGAAGAGCCTAATAATAAACCTGAATTCAGTAACTTAAAGGCCTCTATATCTCTATATGTTTTTATGCTTCCAAAAACTACAGTCTGATTAACTTTCCATGCAACAGAAACCGACATCCTTTTCTTCTTTCACATGGCTGCAAGCATATTAGAGATTGCTATTTTTCCATGATCCATGTAGACTCACTTTAATATATCCCACAATATTGTGGAAATACAGTGCTAGAGTGTATGCAGTGTCTGCACTTTATAAGGCACCATTGCCTTTCCCACATATCACACTGTGATTAATACTGGATTAAAGGCTGCAAAAGAGGATCACATGCCAAGGGGATCAAAGCAGAACACCAACATTGCTGCCTCCATACCTTCTAATTTGGTGATAGGATGGCGATGGTATGAGGGCAAGTCATTTGAGGAGTGGCTGAGGTCACTTGGCTTCAGCCTGGAGGAGATTGAGGGGAAACCTCATTGTGACCTACAGCTTCCTCATGAGGGGAAGTGCAGGGGCAGGAACTGACCTCTTCTCTCTTGTCCAGTGATAGGACACAAGGGAATAGCATGAACCTGTCTCAGGGTAGGTTTACATTAGATATTAGGAAAAGGTTTTTCACTCTTTGGTAGGGGTTGGTGGGCACCAGAACAGGTTCCCCAGGGATGTGGCCACAGCACCAAACCTGGCAGAGTTTGAGAAGCTCTTGGATGATGGTCTCGGGCTCATGGTGTGATGCTTGGGGTGGTGCTGTGCAGGACCAGGAGGTGGAACTTGATGATCCTTGGGAGTCCCTTCCAACTCAGGATTCTATGATTCCATGACCTCAGTGTCAGCACCAAGTATCCATTACGGTTAGGGTTCAGAGAGCTGCAGAGCCTACATCACCAGGAGCACAGGGGCTAGAAAAGGGAACCATGGCCAGGCGCTGACGTTGCTTCTTCCCCATTCCAACTCAGGATATGCTCTGATTCTATTCTTCTAATCATCCCATATTGCAGTTTAATACCAGCCAAATACAAAATAAAGAAGCAAAAGGAAGAACATGCACATTTTAATTCACTTAGCAAAGTTTTCTCTGACTTTAAAATGAAGAATCACGGGAATAAAGAATCTACAGTGCTCACTTAGGAAGCACAAAAATTTGCATACAAAAAAGAAAAACTAAAGTTTTGTAATTCTTTAGAGAGGAGAAATCCCAGGAAGACTTTGAAGCTGAGATTAAAAAGCCACAACCCAGTATATCTTAGAAACATAAGTAGGCAAAAATTAACATATTTTTATAGCACAATCTTAACAGGGTCTAGAGTGGAGGAGACCAACTTAATACAAACTCTGGGACATATATTGCCCAAGGCAAAAATGAGCTCCGTAAATACAATCAGCCTCTTGTAAGTTAATCAGACGTTATTCTAACTGACACGCTATCATTTTCCACATCACGTGTCATGCATATTGACCTGTCTACACACAAGACAGTACTGTGTGTGGCAAAGCCATCAGGAAAGCAAGGACTTAGTGTTTTGAGCAAATGTCTTTCACCAAGTAGGGACAAACTCCTCACGAGTACAAGGAAGAGCAGCAAGTGGATTTCATTCATGGATGTCACTGTCATACATGCAAACCATGAAATAAAAAGAAACAGAGACTTGGGGGAGATAAAAAAGTAGGTCTTTCACATCTAATCCATTTTAATTATCTCCTCTTAAAATTGAGTTTAAGTAGCATATGGTAATCTCACTATACAATGAGTGAATTATATATTACCACAGGCATGTCTTGGTCCCTGAAGATTGACTCTTCAGGATTTAAAACAGTTCAAAACAGACTGTAAAAAGAAGGAAGCAGGATGTCTTGTGGAGAAAAAATAATATGAGAAATTGCAGAATAACCACAGGAAAATAATTTTCTCCATCAGTGAAAGTGAGGATCATTTCAATTCTTACAGAGCTATAGTACCATTTCTATCCCTGACAGCTTTGGGGATGATGAATTTCACACATGAAATATACCACAAGTGATTCAGAAAGCAAATTAAAAGTAGCTTTTGATGGGGCATTCAGGGTGTTAGTTGTTGGTTACATTATCAGTGCAGCAGCATATCATGAAAACATTGGTTGATACCATGAAACATGAGACCATGCCTTATCTTTCAGAACTCTGAGCATGAGGAGGATTTAAGAGTAGTCTGAAAAAAACAGTATATGTGCTCAGCTAAGTATTTTTCCCAGTTTATCCTTGTAGTCATTGGTTTGTCTGAATATGATCAGAGTTCAATTATATGAGTTTCTGTAATAAGTTTTACAACAGTCCTGGGAACACAAGGCAATGTGGAAGATTGCATACATGTTTTATCTCCCTAGTTTACCTCATAAGATGTTTGATTTAACTGGCAGTCAAATCATTCAAGTTTCCTGTGTCTTACACTGGAAGTTTATCTGTTAGGTTGCCCTTTGCATGGTGCTGGCTGGCCTAGGCAATTCTGTATCCTGAGGTTCCTTTTTCCAGTACTCCTTGTACACGCTTCAGCTGTGACATTTGACCAGAAAAGGGAGCAACAAATGTAAACCTCTTATAAAGTGTTGGATTCCTCTGACAATCTCTGTCTCTGCTCTCCTGAGAAATTGAAAGCAATTTGACCAAAATGTGTCTGGCCCAGGTCAGCTGTCTGGTAATCACTGATTTGTCCCTTTTTTTATTGCATGCTGGTAAGGAAACAGAAGCACTGGAAGGTGAAGTAGCATGGCTGAGACCTTCCTGTCTAGAAATGAGCATGAGGGGCAAGACAGGAGCACAGACAGGAGAGGCTGTGCCATTGAAACTGAGTGCAGATGCCAGGACCTTTTAACTCTAGTCCTGTCTTTGTCAGTGTCTGCCTAGTGTGTGAACTTGAAGAAATCACCTGAGCTCCTTTTTACTGTATGTGGATAGGGAATTCCTGCAGCCCCCTTTGTAAAGCATTTTGAAACCTCTGGTTGCAAAAAATGCTGTGTGTCAAAACACACTGCTTGACAGACTTACTCTTTGTTAGCCAGAGCACCTCTCCAAAGACCCCCATGAGGCTTACCATTAGTTTATTGCAAAGAGTTCTACTGAACTGGTTTAATTTTATGATTTTTTTTTTGTCTGTCTCTCTGTGTCTCTCTCATTGGTACTGGGCAGGTGAGAAACCACACCAATGCAGCATCTGTTGGCGCTCCTTCTCTTTAAAGGATTACCTAATCAAACACATGGTGACACACACTGGCGTGAGGGCCTACCAGTGCAGTATCTGCAACAAGCGCTTCACCCAGAAGAGCTCCCTTAATGTGCACATGCGTCTCCACCGCGGGGAGAAGTCCTACGAGTGCTACATCTGCAAGAAGAAGTTCTCCCATAAGACCCTGCTGGAGAGGCATGTGGCTCTGCACAGTGCCACCAACGGCACGCCTGGAGCCACCGGCACCGGCGCGAGGGCTGTCCCCGCCGGCGTGGTGGCCTGCACGGAGGGGACCACGTACGTCTGCTCTGTCTGTCCAGCTAAGTTTGACCAAATCGAGCATTTCAACGACCACATGAGGATGCATGTGTCAGACGGATAAGTAGAATCTCTCTCTCTCTCTTTGTTATGAACAACAAAAATAGAAACAACAAAAAAAGCTATGGCACTAGAAATTAAGAAATTATTTTTGTTTCATTTTTACCTTTGTTTTCCTCCTTTTTTTGGGTTCATTTTGTTTTGTTGTTTTTTGTACTACATGAAGAACTGTTTTTTGCCTGCTGGTACATTACATTTCCGGAGGCTGGGTGAATAATAATTTTCCCAGCCTCCCTCGGATGGTGGCCTTAAGGCCAGGTAGTGCTTCATGAGCTCCACTGGTTGGATCTCTAGCTACTGGCCTCTAAATACAACCCTTCTTTACTACAAAAAGCAAACAACAAAAAAAAAAAAAAAAACCACAAAAAAATTTTAAAAAACAGACAAAAATAATTAAAAAAAATCTTTTTTCTCACTTGTGAAGAGCACTACAAATAAAGAAACAAAACAAAATATATTACAAATCTACAAGGCCTACTGTCATTATAAGTACACCGCTTGCAGTGTTTCAATGGACATGATTCACATTGCTGACCGCTTTTGGACTTCACAGTATCCAGTTAGAACTGTGGAATATTTTGCTTCTGGTTGAGCAGCAACCAGAGGAAACAAGGCCCTGCTGGTTTCCACCATGTGTCTGCTTTCGCACACACACATGCATCCACAAACACACAGAAAGGGCTGAGGGGAATGCGAGGCAGTGTGGCTTGGATAGTGTGGAGTCCCTGCAGGGTGAGGAAAAAGAATCAGAGGTTCCTCACCTGGATTCTGCTCCATCCCTCGCTGTCCAGCGCACCCTCCCCGCTGCTTTTCTCGTACCACCACCACCTTATAGCAGAAACCAAGAAGATTCAGACAACGAGCAACGGTGGCTTTTTTGTAATTTATTCAGTGTCTTCGCTGAGCACAGGGCCTCAGCACAATCAAGAGGGACTTTCACAGAAGGCAAAGAGAAACACAGAGGAAAATCAAAGATATCAGAGGTTGCAACCTATGGATCTAGGTACAAGAGAAGGGTTAGTTCCCACAATCTTTGCAAAAAAAAAATAGTTGCATCAGGATTTATTCTTGTGGAAGAAAGAGGAATAGAGGGTGGGAGGGGAGGGGAATAATAATTAAAAAAAAATAAGAGTTGTTGGGACTTTTTTAATTCAAAATTTTATAGAGGGGCAAAAGTGACGTTTACCAGATAGAATGCTGATTTTTTTAATATATTTACAACAGTATTTGTGTAAAAAAACAAAAAAAGTGAGATTGTTAAAAGTAATTTTTCTTTGTTTTCTTTTTTGTTTTGCATACACTGCCACTAATATCTTCTCTTTTATTATATATATGAATATATATAAAAATATATATTTTATTTTAAATTGAGACTGTTAAGGTTAGCTAACCTGCTTCCAGATAGAGGGGGGGAGGGGAGATGATCTTGATTTTTATTTTAAAAAAGAGGAAGGATGTTTTCTTTATTTTCTTTTCTAGTATTATTCTCTCTGTTTTCTAATGGAATCAAGAATTACCTGGGTCGATGAGGGGCTCTGTGAAGTCATCTGTGAGATTATCTACTAGTGTTTGTGCATCCTGCAGTATCATTTGAACTGCTACTTTGTTTTTTTGAATTATATGGTTCTCTTTTTGGCTCTTACCAAGCTTCTGTTGTTTCTTTTTTGGTTCCATCTCAGAATTTATTTCTGCTGAAGGATGTTTCCTTTTGAGAAAGAGATTTTTCTAGCAATGTTCCCTTGTTTTTGGGGATGATATAAACTGTAGTCTTTCTTCTTTGAAAAAGTAATGAAAGTTTTAAAGTGTGTAATAACTAGGATTTCCCTTCTTTTTGGTCACTGGACAAGAATTAATCTGCTGTATTTTTCTCTCATACCTGCCTTGCTCGCTAGAGAGCTTCCGTATTTGTGTGGGAATCTGATCCTGCCCCAGTAATTTGTGCTGATGCCAAAACAACTTAAAACGTTACCATTGCAAATAATCTTCCCTTCATTTGCAAAAAATCTGACTGAAGGGCCACATCCCACATTCTCTGCATAGACAAAGCTATGAAAGGAATGTAGGATCAGTGTGAAAGATTGATTCCTGATCTGCATATATATGTTGGTGTTTTGTATTTTGTTTTATTGTGTTTGGACTGGTGTTCTCCCTAGTTGTCTTCTGTGTATCTGTGTAAGAATTTTTCCCCCAAAGCCAACTCCCAAAGTACATGGGTCCTTAGTTCAGTTGGATCAGCGTTTGACACTATCTTTGTCTTGCTTGAAATCTATATGAGGACTTACACCAACTGCACTCTGGACTTCATATTTTAGGCAGAGAAGAAGCACCTAACAAAAATATGCAAAAAGGAAAAAAGAAAAATTACTAGTTTAGTTTTTACTCGTGTCTATATTTAAATTATGCTTTCTTAAGTTTACAAAACTTCTTGCTTGTGAACACTGAGCATTTCACATGAGACATTCTTTTATGCTGGACAACTTTCTGAGTATTGACTAGGTAGATCTCCATATACAATTTTGCATGTTCTTTACACCTGCGGCTTCTCTATCAGATGCCTGTGATCCAGTACAGGTAACTTCATCCATATGTTCTGTGCCTGTTCCATTAGCATTTATTTGGGGGAAAAAGCCTGACAGGTGGTTCAGTCTCAGAATCTTTCTGTGCCCTGCAAGGTACTGTTCAGCAGATCCTAAATGCTGAAGCCCAGATTCTTGGCTGCAATGTGCAGCATAGAGAGACCTTGAGGAGAGTGCCAGGGCAATTGAATCTTTTATATGGTAACGCCTTTCTTTGTTGCCAACTTGTTTGGGTAGTTCAAGGAGCTGGAGAAGGAGCACAAGTTCATTAACAAATATTATTTTAATAACCACACTGGTAAAAGCAACACTGGCATGTAAATCAAGATGCAGAAAGACAAAGCCCAAGACACAGAGGGAGAACTGATATCTGCCATTTAGACACACTAAATCTATACAAAAAATAAGGTTCTGGAGACTAGAATGCAGTAGAAAATGAGGAAGGTGAAGCTAGACAAAAGGATTGAAGGTTTTTCTTTGGGGATAGGAAGGTTTTTTCCTGAGATCGTTTGTATCAAAGAATATTCTCCCATATGAGGAACTAGTGAAGAATTTTACCCAACTTACAAATATGTAGCTGCTTATTTGTCATCTGAGGTCTGGGGAAAAGCTGTTTAATTTGCCATTGTGAACCTGGTGAACTGTAGTCAAGACGTAGCGTATTCTGGAATATACTTCTGATACCAGAAGAGATATGCCAGTAAACATGAAATAAGAATCAGGATCTACGTCCACCAAAATCCAAATACTATCCAAATTTTAATCCTTCAGTTTTCATCCTTCCCTAAATCAAAGCATTATCTTTGAAATGCCAATTTTTTAAGTTCTAATAAATCTGAAGTGAATTAAAGATAAGGAATGAATGAATGAATGAATGAATGAATGAATGAATGAATGAATGAATGAATGAATGATGCCAATTAAAAAAAACAATAAACATAGTTCTTAAAGTAAAGCAAAGGCATACTAACTAGACTGAATTCTAAAATGCTTGTCAAAGAATTTAGGCCTAGGTCTTCAGAAATGACTGCCTGTAATATAAACTGATTTTGTTGGACTTCCAGACTTGATCTTGTAAAACATGGAGCAACTTGCAGCATGACTGCAAATGTGGCTTAAAGTGCTTGTCAGGTCATTCTGAATTTAGAAGCTCAAACATAGTCCCCTTCATCTTTTAAAGTGTTAGATTCTCTTTGGCAGTTCTTCCTCCCATCTTTGAAATACTTATTTGCTACTTGGAAACAACTATAATATTTGAATGTTACAGGTATATTCAAGCTTCATATATTGCTACAATATGCCTTTGCAAAAGGAATAGCAGTCACCATGATCTGGAAACTGCTGCTGACAATGTTTGAGCGAATCTATCTCAGTATGCTTGAAAGGCTTCCTTCAAAACACCTGGTGAAATGATGCAGATAAGAAAATGCAGACTGTAGGACACATCCTTTTGTTGAAGCATGCAATATCCTGCATTCCTTGAGCTTGATTCTCACTTTCGCTAAAGCTCTCTTTATATTGCTTTGGTGATGGAAAAGGCCATTAAATAGAACATAAATTCAAGCTTACAAGTCAAGGCCTCTCTGCAAGGCATAAGTGCAATAAAGGAAGCCTTAGAGTGAATGAGAAGTGCCTTCTTGTACAGCTGCTGAGGCTGGTGAAATGAATTGGAAATGTAGGACTGGCTAGAAGCAGATCTCCCCTGTGGTCCATCTCACCCAATACTGCATCTCTGCCATGTGGCAAGTTAGAGATGATTTGAATGAAGATGAATGACCAGTGTTGGATTATTACAAAGCAATAAGCCTAAGGGAGAAGATTTATTATATAATCCTCATTAGCTATTTCTACATATAAAATACATATAAATACAAATAAAACATGTATTTGCCTACAACCTAAAGGCATAATAATTCATGGCTTTACCTTTTTATCCCATATAAAAATTATGTATTGTGGCAGATAATTCTCATTGTCCTTGAAAGATCTAGCTTATTCACTTTTAGGTGGCCTCCATGATGTCCTGTGAAAGTGAATTCCTCCCGTTAATTACCACATTGTTGAAATTATTCCCTTTCAAATTTATTTTGTTGTTCATTAAAACACCCTTATTCTTGTATTATATGAAATCACAAATCAGAGAACCAAAATTTAACTTCTCTTGCCTATTTCATTGAGGTCTGCCTCTCTCTGGGAAGCTGAATCCACAAGGATTGCAGGACCACAAGCTCAGTGTCTGCTGAATAGCAAGGAGAGGACAGCTCCTGAGCATATCCATATGTGTTTGGGGCATGTGCATTAGCAAGGTTCTCCTACAGTGATCTCTTGCAGGGTACTGGCAGGAACAACTCATAAGTAATGGGAACCTAGCAGCACAGTAACTGGTCTGTACATTTTAATATGATATTTCAGTCTGGTCCCTCCTCTC